ACGTGATGAAAAGGATTTTTCATTCAAATAAAATCTAGCAATGCTAACAACCTAACTCATGATTCAATTGTACCAAGTGTAGGGTTCGAACACAAGGAAGACTAGGACTTAAAGTATTAGACCATGGAAGATTTTAGTTAAGCTAAGGCTATAAGAGTTTGGTTGAGTTGTTTTAGACTAAATGAAAATGCAAAGTTACAAGAAATGCACAAAACAAAAACTTGAGGTGAATGCAATGATAATGGAGAGCATCAAGTGTCGGGTTAGCAACTAATGAGGAGCAATAAATTGCGGCTAATAAAGCTAGGGACTTTCGGTTAAAGCTCAACTCTTAAGCATGGAACACGAATATTAATCATCCCGCTTTCGTGACGCTACTAATTACTTTGTTGAGTACAAACATCTAANGAACTTTTGCTGCTAGATATAAGGACTCTCCAAGCATAAAGGCCAAGTCCCAATAAGCTCACTTAGCTCCTTAACACACTTTCATGGCCAAGGATCACTAAGCCGAACAAAAGATCATTTCGGTATTCCGACAAACACCTTTCGGGCAGTGGAACACCTAAAGACGAAGCTCAAGGCCGTAGCCAAGAACTAAATATTATCATCAACCTAAGTTTAAGAAACGTGATAGTTAAGCCGAAGCTAGATTAGTCGTCCTCAAAAGCTCCTATACCTACTACCCCGACACTCGACAAGCAGACTACTAACTCATGGCTACGGAAAAGCCATGATTGAGCTCGAGTGAAGTGTGTGTGGTAAAATGCGAAAAAGATGTGATTCAAGCACAAAGACTAAAACTTTAAGCTAAAGATGGAAACTTTATAAAGATAAGAACTTACACCATCCGAGTATTAATGCTCTAAGGATCAATTCAAGCTACAACGTAAAAAGATAGTTTCAAAGCGTAAAAAGGAAAGATAAATCAGACTTAGGTTTTCTTCGGGGCTAAAAACATATTTATAGCCCCTTATAACAGTACATGGGTCGACCCGGAGTGAAATCGGATCACCCAGCAAAAGTCAACGGTCGACCCAAAAAAGTCAACAAAATGCATTAAAGATCGGTCCCTCCATATCAAGGTAGTAACCGATATCCGGTGCCTATCCAGTGATCCACCCAGCTCTCGTGTCGCGACACAATGTCCTCGATAGACGCAGGTTATTCTTCATCGGTTTGTGTCGATATCATGGAATATCGGTTTCTCAGCTTATTCTTCAGCCGATATGATGCGTCTGGTCCAATGGTCGAAGAGTCTTGATGCTCCACCATAACAAGAGGATAACCTGGGACATTTTTGCACAGATTTGGGGGCACTAACATCCTGATTCTCACCCAAGTTATGAACTTCAGTAGATATGTTGAGACTCCATCCTTTTGCTATTCCTGGTGCTTCTTATCGGTGAATCCTGATGATTCATGACTGATTCATGCTCCTGTGCTTCCTCTGTTCGCTCCAGAACCTTGCAACCCCTCTGCATTTTTATTCCTCAGCGCTCACTCAAATCCCCCAAGCTCTAATAAGCCAGATAACTCCATTTAAGCATAGGTACCACCTGAAAAAGGGTAAAAGAAGAGATTTATGTACAAACTCTAATCTAGAACTCTAAGATGCAAATCTAAACTAAACTAGAACTAAAGGGTTCCTATATGATGCAGAAGGATGTTAATTAGAGGAAAAAGACATGCAAATATGTACATTGATAATGTAAATATATGGATATATCA